GCGGGACACATGACATGATATATGATATATATGCATTATAATCATTATATGCTGTATATAGTCGGTAATGTATGGTCCTGTATGGTGCACCTTTAAGCACACGGTGTCTCCGGTTCAAACGCTTTGCACGTCCATGCTAAAACTCTGGAGCTGGTGAGTTGCTGCAATCAAATGTCCAAACTAAATGTTGCACTCCCTTAAAGCTACCCGAAGATTGACAGCCACCAATGTTCAATGTCCATGTCAGTGTTTTTAAATATCCTCCCTTATGACAAATTCTATCAAATTCCAGCGTTTTAAACAAACACGCAACAAAGGTAAGTCTCAAACTACTCAAAACCGGATTGACGAATGCTCTCTCGCTCGCTCTCTCCTTTGGCGCAGTCACGTCATCCCACCCCCACGTCACGTCCAAACCCGCGGATCCGCACGTGTGTCCTGCTTTGGAGGCGACCAAGTCGATGGGCGACTTCACGCAAGTGGCCTGGGGGTTCGGGGGCTCCAGGCCCCCGCTGGCGCATGACGAGTGGAAGCTGGCCTTTTCCTGCAAGAAGATGGTCCAATGGTTTCAGCCTGTCCAACTGCCCCCGTCTCTAGACTGTATCAGAGGATCAGCTCCAAATTGATGGGAAAAATGCTGAAAACATGCTTTGACTTTATGGATGGTTTGCTGTTCGATCCCTTTAAAGCTATCCATTCCCAAGAAGGGCAGCTACATCAAAGGAGCTACTCCCTTGTGGTATTCAAGAACACGTCCTCCGCATTCCTTTGCCCCCAATACAGTGCGCGCATCATTGGCCCACACATCTCGGAGCCGAGCACATGACAAGCACATTTTTGTCACATGGCACAATGCACTGATGATTTTCAGATGCTGCGATCTCGGTTGCAGATGGTTCAACCAGATGCTTCATACATGGTGCTGTTTCTACAGCATCTGTGAGCCACATCCTGTCAAAGAACAGAGCAAAGTCCATCTAAAGATGTCTAACCATAATACACCCCGGGGGGCACACGGGTGGTTTAGTATACCCACGGTGAGAGACGCAGATTTCCTGCCATCGAGCCTCTGATTTCAGCTTGGCCATCGAGCCAATGTTGCGGGTTTTCTGCGGGAAAGCCTGGAAGATATGCAATGGTCTGCGGATCTTCCACTGAAAAGCTGAAAGCTTTTCTTTGAGATCCTCAGGTTCTCTCAGGCTTTTGAGCATCGTAGATGGCCACAGCACCAGTCGTACCATCCAGGTGCTCAAGAAAGGCCTTTTCCACGGCCCCTCTCCCAAACCTCTCAGGCCGCCCCTCTCCCAACCCCACCCCATGCCTCCAGATCCCATGTCCTCCGCTCCAAGTGACGTCTTCGTCCGCTCCGTCCCAGCAGTCGGACACCCGGGACCAGGTCCCAGCCCTCCGGAACTCCTGGCGCGCGCGAGCTGCCCTGACTACCGGGTAGTCACTACCCGGTACCACCCCGGTACCTCAAAGAAGGTCACGGAATGCCTTCACCACCGAGCAAACATGAGCAAACCATGAATCTATCCGGAATCATGCTTCGTGGAGGAAGAAAATGGCCGTCTTTTGTCTGAAAGAGCTTCTTCCTCTTCCCTCCAGACAAATGGTTTCGTTACGCTCTGAAGAGCTTCTAGGTAGCCCACGTATCTGCCAAACCAAGAGATTGCATGCCTTTCGCCAACACCAAATTGTTATATCAGTCCACATGCCTTTAAGACAGCTGTTTGCATGATCGTTTCCAGTTCTGGTCATTAACAGGCAACGCATTCCAGATAGAAGAAGAAGAAGAAGTTGATGGGTGTGCTGTGCCCAAAAGATTGACTCGTAAATGACATCCAAGAGATGAAGTTGCAACTTCTGTCACCTCACCCACCCGTCTCTGGCTTGACAAGCAAACGACGTCAAAATCGCTCACCTCACAGCTCTTTCCGTGATGAGGTCCCGGCACCTGGCCGGCCGTGAAGCATCGACGGACGCGCTCGCGGCACCGCCATGCCGGACACAAGGGTGTCCGGCACCGTTGCCAGGTGTCGAAAGCACGTCGGTGCCCAAAGCGAGACTAGAGGAACAATGAAGGTGTGTTCTGTTTGTGGGTTGGGTTGTCTACAAGGTCATGTGTCCAAAAGGCACAATAATTCATATGTAGTCATATAACACCTACTACAAGGTAGCTCCCCGCACAAAACCTCAACATCGCAGTCAAAGAGGTGATGAACTTGGACTATTTCCACTCACCCTTCTAGAAACACTTCGCATAGTGAACCCTGCCCAACACCTCCGTACTTCATCATACTTCCACGCCTTCAAGCTGTTCTTGAAGACGTCTCGACAGTCCCACAAATGATTGGCCACTGGTAGACCTGTGAGAGGATGTCAAAGTCGGCCACCCGCAAAGTTTGGGGTCATATACTTGGCATGCACCCCCAACAATGCATGTACGCATGAACATTTACAGTTCAGTTCAGTATAGGACCTACATTATCCTATATTTACCCTTCAATCATATTTCAACAGGTTTGAACCACCCAAAAGCAACCTTCCCAGCTTCCATGCATGCCCAGAACTTCCGATGACTCATTTTTACCCCACCTGGGCATCATCCACCACTACGGGGCATGATGAGTCGTGAGTAGACTCTCAGGGATATGCAGCTGATATCAGTTGATGCTCTCTCCTCTGATGGGAATGCTATGTAACGGTCATCCATTCTGTGCGCTCAGAGGCACCATCGCTACGGATGACCTACCCGTTTTCACACCAACGGTGACAGAATCGAATGCCCCATCATGTTCCAGGGCTCCTCACGTTCCCAACCACACAGCATCTGGCAAACAATCCATGTGCTGGGCAAATGCTTCCATGTGCTCGTGTGAAACCCAAGGCGAGTCCACTACTCCAACACAGCACTCGGTGTTAGGAACCCGGGTCAGTGTTGCGCAGTGTGGAGAGGCACCAGGCTTGGAGGTGAGCTAGGGTGTGGTCCGAGGGAAGCCCGGTCGGAGATGCTCTAGTCTCTCTTCTCTTCTCGACCAGCCAATCGATCCCGGCACAAGAAGGGCGATCCGAGCGAGGTCCAAAAGGAACATAAAAAAAACGGGCCGGTCCGAGATCCTGTGATTGTCATTGAACCCTAAGGATCCTGTTAGATGCATGTTAACTACAAAAAGTCTCAGGCACAGCGATAGAAAAATTCAGCACCACCTAAGGGGTAGATCCATACGTCAATTCTTGGCAGGTGTCGGTGAGTCTCAAGGTTCAGGATTTCTTCCCTCAATAGTAGCCACACTAGGTCCGAGCAGCTGGGTGCCAACAAAACTTGCCTATCAGAAGCGTCCCATCTTCCCAGTACATTCCAACTTTCGGGCGGTCCCCAGCCACTCCTGCAGTCCAAGGAACGTTTCTTGTAGCCCCCTGCGAAGCAGCCCAAAGCATCCTTCAGCTTCTCAATCTGTCTGGGATGCACGTGCAGCGCCTCGTCAGGACCGCAGCCAGCCAGCCACACCGAAGCATTTCCGAGAAAACACGTGAAAAATACAATGCCATTCAGGCCTGCTGTGTCATATGGTACAATTCAAAAGGGTGCAGTTGCATGCGTGCGTCAACCTCTCGCAATCTCTCAATAGCCCAAGGCCGCTCTGCCGCAGGAGGCTGACAGAAGGAAACCCCTGCCGAAACTCGTATTCATTGCCATAGGCTGTAGCCATATAGCTACATCATATCTACAGCTGGTTGGTGGTTTCAGCTCACTTATGAAAAGTATGTCAGTATTGATAGATCATGCAAAGCGTGAAAAATAGACATATCATATCTCAAACCACTGACCCAAATCAATCGCTGGCCACCTCCTTCCAGTGCGCATCCTCCTTTTCTCGGAGCTTCTGAAGCGCCCCAGACCGGGAAATTCGGCCATAGCAAGATGGAAAACGTCCTCTTTATTCGGCCATTAAAACCTCATCTGGTCATAATCTGCCACGAACTCATCCGCCACCAAGCCTCCCACGAGCTCAAAAGACTCCTCACGAGCACGCGCCGAAGGCATCGCACGAAGGCGCCGCACCAGGAGTACGCAAAGGTACACGGCGACAGCACAGAACACACCCGCAACGAACGCCCATCGGCACTGTTGAGGTTCGATTTCTATGGCACCGTTGAAGCTTCCCGTCGTCGTTGAGTTCAAGCCAGACTGATTGAAGGCAATGGCATGTTCGAGCATGCTTTGCTGCCGTTTTGCCTTCGAGGCATTCCAGGAGCCGAGTTGGTGCTTGAAGGCGTTTGCACCATAGAACATGCCTTGCATGCTCCTCACTTGGGACACATTCCAGGAGCCAATCGGCTGGTTGAATGAACTGGCGTCAAAGAACATCGAGTCCATGCTTGTCACTTTGGACACATCCCAAGAGCCAATCGACTGGTTGAAGGCGCTGGCACCATAGAACATGTTGTCCATAC